TGCTCTTTAGATAATTGAGCTAATTAAAATGTTGCAGATAATTGAGCAATGCAAACTTCGCATTCTGTCTTTGAATCCTGAACAAGGCCTTCTGATCATAAGGTGGTTGTGCTTGGTAGTTTAATGTCTTAGCATTTTGCTATAGCTGTTTTATTTATTTATTTATTATTATTATTATTATTATTATTATTATTATTATTATTATTATTATTATTATTTTGTAGATTGATTGCTTGTCTTATCCGGAGGTATTTATATCCGATGTTGGAGCATGTTTCACATCTGAAGGCATTATTGGATTATTATGCATTCATAAATGGCAATGTATCCTCACATTTGGTTACTGCCCTTTTGCCTCTCATCAAACAAAGTCATGATCTCCAGGTATTGCAACTCATAGTTGTGCATACCAGTTTTATTAGTTTTTCTTCAATCTCAAAAGAAATTTCATATCATGCCAATCTGGAAGTTGGCAAATTCAATTCTCAGGAAGGTTCATTGAATCCTAACATGGGCTATAAGGAATATATTATTGAACAGTGATGGTAGCTTATCAATGGCACAGGATTATATCATTCTGGTCTTGCGTAAAGCTATGTTCAGAAGAGAGGAGTCAGTTCGCTACGCAGCAACCAATTCCATTATTGATTTGGTATTGGGAGAAAAACAATCTCAAAGAGATGAGACATTTTCCTTGCAAGAATCAAGCAGTCAAGCTAGTAGTAGCCAGCAGCAGGCTGAAATTGTATGTGCTGCTGGATCTGGTCTATTCTGGGAGCTCAATGGATTGCTGCAGAGATGCCTTTATCAGCAGGTTTAGATTTATCATATCCCTAAATAAATATCATGGACCACATATTTACTATCAGTGTGGAGAACTAAAACTTCATTTTCATTCGTTGCTATTAGGCGAAAGTCAGAGTGATTCTTTACTATGGTCTGGTTAAGCTTGTTTTGGTGGATCCCTTATCGGCTGGCCCTGTTTTCGACTTTCTCTTGCCTCACTTCTTTCAGTTTTACAAGAAGGTAAAAACGTAAATTGTTTAGGCTTATTAACAAAGAGATCTTTTGGTATTATGGCTTGGATGTTGTTGTTTGTATTAAGGATGTTTTTACTTGGAGTGTAATTTGTCCCAGACCAGACCAGTCCAGACCAGACCAGACTTGGATAGTTATAAAAATACAAAGAAACCAGACCAGACCAGACCAGACCAGTTCAGACCAGACCAGATCAGACCAGACCAGCAAATTACAGTCCAAGTAAAAACATCCCTAACAAGGAGAGAAAAATATCTAGAATACATACAACATGAGCCGGATTTACTCCCCCTTTTGTGTTATTGGTCACATTTTGGTATTATTTTTTTGTATTGTCAGGATGCAGATGTTCAGTTGAATGTCTCCAAATGTGTAAAATCTGAGAGTGGGAAAATTTATATCGAGGAGCCACTGGATTGCCTTCTTTCCTGCATCTCTTGGATTCTTCTTCTCCAGCCACATTGTAAAACCAACCATTCTTCAAATTCATGGGCTTCTTTAGGCTTCTCGCTGACACAGGAGAACGAGGTAGTCGTATTAACAGTTTCTGTTGGCAGATTTGCAGCCATCTATGCTCACATGTTTGTTGTGCACTTATCTCAAACTGCAGCAGGCAGAAAGAGCATGGTCTGCGGAGTCAATGTCGAACGCAATGTCAAACATACGGAAGTTTTTGAGAAAGGGAGACTTTGAAGGTCTATAGTTTAATATCCATAGTTCCATGATAATTAGCTATACTAAGGGGCAAATGTCATTCATAAACATAGCAACAAGTCTTGGTTTCTCAAAATTTGTGTCTCTTTTCCAGTCTATCATGTTAAATGAAGTCCAACTTCATAGGAACTAACTCTTGATTCTTGGTGATTTTTCCATGTTATACCAGGCTTACTAGGTAGAACTAAGGATGCTGGTTCTACTCCTGTAGAAGAAGAAAAACACAAATGCACGTCATTGATTTTGTCAGGGATCATTGAAGTGATGCTCAATATCATCATCAATGAGTTTGGCAAAGCAACCGATGCAGAAAAAATGGATTTGGAGAAGGAGCTGTTTGAGTTTGTTAGAATTCACAATTCATTGAGAAAAAATTTGCATACCACTAGGCAGAGTGGTGGGGTGAAAAGGGGATCCCTGCGCCTTTCAGCTAATGATGGCTCCGAAAGGCTTCATCTCAGTTGCACTATATTGTCTGAGGAAAGAATAGCTCTATTGGCAACCTCTGCGATCTGTCAGCTATTGTATATTGCTCAAGAATCATGGAAGCCTGTGGCCCCCCAAAATCATAGCCAGCCGTCCTCCGAAAAGGATTCAGTTCCACATGCTAACATTTTTTCTTTTGCTTTAGAACTTTGCATGCGCCAACTGAAATCCTACACTTGTGCGGCCAAAGATGACCCAATGAGGATGTTGATCTACGGTGACATCAATCAATTGGGACTCCCATTGCTGAAGATGGCTTGGTTTCTCTTCTCAGCATCAGTTCCTGACAAAGTTAACAAGAAGGGAGCCCGTGGGAAGAAAGGTTTTGATGACAAGAAGGAACACCTCCAATCCGTACTAGCGTGCTTGAAAGAATTGATAAGGATAAATCTTTTCCACCCTGGATATTTTAATCTAATGGATGATCTGGTGTCCATCCCTGTCCCAGGAGATGTTTTAAGAAGTGATGCCAATGATGGTCCAAATGATGAATATGAAGTTGCTACTAATGTGGTTATGAAAAGTGATGAACTATTCATTCAAAAGAGTATACAACCATTGCTTTATGAGCTACTTGTGCATTCTTTCTTCCATGAAGTTGAGGTAAGAGGTGGAGCATTCTTTATGAGCTTTACGACCATTAGTTTTCACATTATTTGTCTACATACATTGGTTAACTCCGCATTCATTTCCCTATTTGCAGGTGCTCTCAGACATTTTGGGTTTAATTGCCACTAAATTGCCCGAGGAGGGAAGGAATCGTGTTGGCAATTGGGCAAGGGGCATCTGCAAAAGAAAAAATATATCAAATCCCAAGGTTGCTAAAAGTATTGCCAACCTTGCTTTGACTTTAAGCTCAGCACCTAATGACTTGATTATTGCACAAGAAATGGCTGCCGAGCTCTTGACTGTTGTTGGGAAAGAGTCTAATGATCTGCCAGAGACATCTTATTATATCATTAACACATCTACCAGCGTGGATATTGCATCAACCATACTGCAATTCCTTGATTCAACCATCACTGACATTGAATGGATCAGCATGAAGCTAAAGGAACGCTCTTGTTCATATAAAAGACACATATCTAGTCAACAATGGGGTGAAAAGGCATCAGAGTTAGTTATTGAAGAAACACTATATTCAAGAGCAGAAGCTGTTGTAAAGGTGGTATCTTTCTTCGTTTTGATGAACCTGGAAGGTAAGGCAAGTTGTACTCAGGGTGCTGTTATTGTATCCCACTTTAATCACTCGACATCATTGCAGTCAATTGTTATTATTTAGTTTTTAAATAACACTGGAGGGAAACAAAATTACAGAAGCCGAGGCAGAAAAGCTTTTGATGTTGGCTGCAAGGTTTTACAAGAATTTAGCTCGGATAACAAAGCTCCACTCTGCTTCCAAAGGCTGCAAGCAACGCTTACCCAGCCTCAAGTTCCAGAAACTTGTGGAAGAAACTTTCAGGCAGTTAACAGCTCCTTTGTACAATTTTGTAGCAGATATGCAAACGGTAAAGAAAAGAAAGAAGTTCTAAATGGATTATGTACTTATGTTGAGCAGATTCACTGAGTGAGTGTTTGTTTTGATAGATCTTTTGTTCGTTTTTATTTTCAAATATAGAAGCAGCAAGAGAGTGAAAAAGGCAAAGGAATTGTGAAGAAGATAAAAAGAGAAAACAGATGCATCCCTGACTTGATCTACCAGATAGAAGATTGTGAGAAATATCTTATCCAGCTTAGCAAGGCAAGCAAAGTGAATTTGTTGAGGCATGCAAAGCGCAGCACTTGCAGGGACTTCAAGATACACTTCTCCATGGAACAGGAAAATGGTAGTGATGATAATGAAGTGGTTGCTGAGACTGAATCATCATCAGGTGAAGAAAATGAAGCTGCAGATTTGGGCGCGGTCGATAAAGGAGAAGAAGGGGAACATCTGGCCAATGTGGAGGACTTAGAGTGTGAGGATGAGGAGGTGGAAGAGGAGGCAGAACTAGATGAAGCTGCTCTACACAGGGCAAAGAGATCGAAAGCCAGAATTGTGGAAGACTCAGAGGAAGACTGACATAGTGACAAGGTATATATTTGTAGTACTCTCTTAAAGGGAATTATAGTCATTAACATTATATTTTCGTATCATCAGCAGTTCAATTGTTATTACTAGGAATATATCCGTGATGCTTTTGTGAAATATAAGAATATAATGTTCCATGATGTTAAACCATTAAAGCAATTGAGAATGAGAAGGGTTAATGTGGATATAAGTACTTTTTGTGAATGTTATATACTAGTAATATAATCAAATTAAGAGTTAGTAAAATAAGAAAATGCATTAACTAGAAATGGCAAAACTAAATTGCATGATGAAGATGAAGCTTATTGGTATATATATACTAGCCCATAATTTATACTTGGCATTTTTTTGAAGTGCCCATAATTTATGCTAATGTCCAATGGTAAAATTGTACTTTAAAACTTTAAAAGTAATAAATTTGTACTAATTCCACCGAATCATATTATGTAAGGACTTTTATCAAATTCAATGTCGACACCTTCCACTCTTGTATGTCGACTTTTTTTACTTGAGATATTTGTAAACGCTAGCACAAAACTACTTAATGTGTATAATTTTAAGTTTGTTAGTTGCATTAGAGATATGTCAATAAAAGTTACTCGATAAATAATATGTAGTATAAGGACCAAATGCGTGAATTTTGAGACTACAGAAAAGATTTCAAATTCTAAAAACTAAATCTAACATTTATCTATTTTGAATTGCCACAAAAAATCTCTTAAATAACTAAAATCAACTACAGTACAACTCTGGTTGTGTTATTCATGAATCGAGTTCATCAAAGAACTCCATTCAATAATAAGACTATATACGTACACGAATAGTCAATCAGTACAATTACAAAAAAAAAAACAAATTAAGAAGAAATAAAAGGCCTCACTAAATAAGATGAAAATAAATTCCTATTTGGTCTCACTCATGATCGAATGGAATATAACAACAAATTATTACTGTGACAATATAAATCATTATTAACTTATGATTATGGTATTATTATATTTAGGCGGTCTTGACCATCCCGGAGTCGTACGGAATTCCGGTGGGCTTGATCCAGTCATCTCCCTGAAGATAAACTCCTGCGGTGAACTGGCTGGCGACCTGGGGAGAAATCTGCTTCTGGTAACCCTTCCAATCGACCCTCTTGTCGGTGTTAGCTCCGGCGCCTCTGTTCTGGTACTCTGCATACCAGCAAGTGTCCAGCCCGAAGCTGCCCATCCATGGCGACCAGCCGGTGGGGTCAATGAAGCCATCGATGTATGACTGCATGATGATGGTCCGGGAGTACTCCTTCCACGGGCGGCCGAGGAAGACCTGGACGGGCGGGTTCGCACCCTTGATTGCCTCGTCGGGGAGGATCTCGCAGTTTTGGAGGACGATGCCGCCGACCCCGCGGTGGTCCTTACGGCCCTGAGCGGTGACCATGCAGGCCTGGTTCTCCAGGGGCTTGCGGACGAGCATCTTGCAGTTCTGGAAAACGGCGGCGGCGTCGCCGAAGATGAAGTCGATGGTGCCGGAGATGACGCAGTTGCGGTAGTACTGGCGGTAGGAGTGGGTGTAGAGGGTGTCTTGGTAGGCGTCGATCTGGCAGTTGTAGAAGATGGCGTTGTCGGCGGAGACGCGGAGGGCCACGGCCTGGTGCTTGCTCGCTCCGGCGGAGTTCTCGAACCCTATATCTCGTGCCATGAACCCATCTCCCTGGATTGCTACATAAATAGGAACATATAAATAAAATGAGGGGGAGAAAATATAATTACTCCTATTTACACATTTTGACTTTATGTTTTAGTTAATGATGCCAAATTTGGAAAAAGAGACTGATAATCCTGATGAACTTTCTTAGTTTAATTTTAGATATTTGATTTGATAGGATCTTTAAGGTATTAAATCTTAAAATGTAATTTAAAAGAAAATAGTTGCAATCAGTGACATGTTTAGGAGGAGTTAGTACGAGGTACATACCAACAGTGGCGGTCCTGTATGTGTTGACCCCGTCAATGAAATTCAAGCTCCCGGTGATCTTGGTGGCAGTGGGCCCATCTCCCAGGAAAACAATCTTATTCATCTTCCTCGGAACCATCACTTGCTCCTTGTAAACTCCGGCCTTGATCTTGATCACGTAAGTGTCGTTATTCTTCTCCGGGACAGCTTTGAGAGCCTCATTTATGGTCTTGTAATCTCCGCTCCCATCCTGAGCGACGACGGCATTGGCTTTGACGGAGGCCGGGTCGGCAGCGAGGAACCGTCGTCCGTCGGCAGGGAGGCCGCCATCATCTCCCGCCTTCTTTTCGTGGCTGAGGAGGCGCCTCTTCATTCCGGGGATCTCTAGGGTCTGCAGGACGTCGCTGAACTGGGTGACCATGGCGAGGCCGTTGCTGGTGAGCTCGCCGGCGAACTTGAGCAGCTTCTTCATCTTCTCGCCGGCGTCGCCGGTGGTGTTCTCGAACGCGTCCAGGCACGTCTGCTGGTGGGTAATGGCGCCGCTGATCCAGACCTTGAGGTCGTCGGCGTATTCCTCGATCTTGTCCATGTCGAAATCCTCGACTTTTGAGAAAGACCTTTTGAGATCGTCCACCGAGTCGTCTAGCAGCTCCTTACACGTGTCCAGGGCGCCGGAGGTCCGGGGGTCCTTGGCGGCTTCCTTCAGCACTGCCGAGTGGGAGATGGCGTCGCTCAGGTTTTTCATGGCGGAGTTGAACGCCACCTTTATGAGCTCTTTAGGGTTGCTTGTGTTCTTCGCGTCGACCAGGCTCGTCTCGCAAGCATCCTTGTAATCTGTGGTGGCACAAATGGCGTGGACCGCCTTCGTTGAGGTGGTCACCTGTCCGCCACCGCCGCTTCCGCCGCTGTTGCCGCCTTTCTTGTTTGTCACAGACAATGTGGCAGCGACGACACATGCCACCAAGAGAACCGCGGCCACGCCAGCTATGGCCACGTTTTTTCTTTTTCCAGCCTCGGCCATTTATAAATGCTAACTATTTAGATGTATATATTTTCTATTTTCGATTCTATCTATATGTGAAAATAATGAAGAATTGAAGTATTTTAACAAAGAAGTTAATTGATGATGGCTTTTTATTGAGGCCCGCAGGCGGTGATGAATGAAAGGGAGGGAATGGGATGCATTTATATTGGTTAAGAAGATGAAGAAGAGAGGAGCTAACAGGTAGAGGAATTTGAGGTTCAAAAAATGTGACAGTTGGAAAGGAGCCATAGTTTTCTCTTCACCAGAAACTAAAAAATGCATGTGTGTGGTATGCATGCGTGCAATTAAGGATGGAATGTTGATTAAGATCGAGGAGCAAACCATAAATAAATGAGTAATTGTTCCTTTATGTACGTTACTCATTCTGTCACGTTAAGATTGTCACATCATTCCTTTTATATCCGTCAAACTAAAATTGTCTCATTCTAAATATGGTAAACTTTGTGTGGTACGGTTCTAAGTCATTCTTACTTTAACAACTAGTATAGTACCCGTGCGATGCACGGGATCGCACAAGAACAATAATTTTACATGGATATAAGTTTATGGCACCTCATCCATATTCCAGTCTGAAAAAATAAAATGAAACTATATATTGGTAATATTATTTCACAAAATAAAAGTTTATTAACATTGATGAGTAGGTTGGGGACGTAGAATTTGAGAAAAAAGCCGAGGTTGGGATAACATGATTTCAATCGGAACTTAGAAAATATTTCTCAGTCCCTAATTTTATTTAGTTCTAGAATAATCAAGTTTGAAAAAACTATGGCGTGCAGGATTAAAAGATTATCGCTTTACAAAAAAGACTAATATCTTTTTCTTTCTAATTATGGTGCGGTGACAATGTGAAATTGTAAACTAAATGAAGTTATTTTTTCAAGTTGACTTATTTTTCTAACAGGATTCATTGAATTTGGTGAATAGTGACATTTCAACTCTCTTTGTTATTAAGTTTTTCTATATTTCATTTACAAAATATATTTTTAATTATATTTTTGCAATTTTAAGAAGCTTAGATGGTGGTGGTGTCACGGAGATTTTTTTTTTCAAAAGTGAATTACTTTGAGATATTACCCAAAATGGGACTAAAAAAGTTTAGAAATTCCAAAATAGGACTTCCATATTTTTATTCCCAAAATAGGACTAATTACTGTCATTTTTTGGCAATGCCAGACTTCAAACATGACAGTATTTTCCAAATTTGGCAGTAATTAGTCCTATTTTGGGAATAAAAACATGACAATCCTATTTTAGAATTTTCAAACTTTTTTAGTCCCATTTCAGGAACTTTCCCGAATTATAAATGGTAATTTGTTTCAAACATTCCTAACCGAGAATTTTTTAACAATCCAGATCCTGATAGATAAGTCACTATAAATAAACGACTAAGAAGATAAAAATATGTCAATATAGAGTCAACAAATGATTAAAAATTATTTAATTTCTTCCTTCCCGCTGGGATTGTTTCCTTTTTTCTTTTCGGTAAGATAGTCTCATATCAAAGTTGATAAAATTTGTGTAATTCTAAATAATTTTTAGATTATATTTACTTTACCAATTTAATATATCAACTACACAAATTCACTTTTGTTAATAACCAATATTTGTGTTATCCCCACCTAACCCAATATTAGTGGAAAAAAGGTAGTATCAAACTAAGATTTAGAGTATCATGAAATTTAGTATTTTCGAATTTAAAACATTTAACATAATTAAACTAATAAAACTTCTTGAAAAAATCATTAAAATTAGAAGTGGAATAGATAAATAAATCAAATTCAATGATATTTTAATGATAAATAAATAATTTTGATAATGATTTCAATTATTTGACCCAAATTAGATACACTTCATGGTCTTTTATTGATGGTGATGAAGTTGTCATTCAAATTGTGGATTAAAATTACAACTCCCAAATAAGCTACTTAATGTGACACATACCTCCAAGAAAAACAAAAAAACACTTGTGAACTCAAGAAAAGCCCTTCTCCCCTCGTAGACTGTCTAGCTCCCACCCCTAAATCACATAGGAATATTATTCTACGACTAAATAAATTGGAAATTATAAAATATTCCTCTGTGAACTTAATATGATATCAGGTTACAAAGAAAGCAGTTTTCTTTTTATCAACTAAATAATCAAGTTCCAATTCAATAGGATAATAGCCGAGGTTGTAGAATTCTCGCTTCTTATCCAATTTTCTTTTTCTCATCACCTCTCCCACATTCACAAAGCATTTAGCCATTTCCTGCCCCCAACAATACAATTACATAAAGGTCGGCATTAACCCACACTTATGATTCACAATAGCCCTTTCTTCCTTCCATCGATGAGATCTCTTCTAAATCGGAAGAATGCTTGGCAATTTTGATTTTTACCTACACATTTTTTTCTCTCCTCCGAAGCATGTGCTAAATCAAAATTACAGACAGGTCTGTAAGAGCGATAAGCAAACTGAGACAGGTAATTTTGAAATTTAATAATGTTTCTTCATTTTCTTTAAATAGATCTACAAATTTTATTTGCATGCATCACCAGATCCATAAAAAACCTTAAATCAGATGCCAAGTCCTTAAATTAGATTCGAAATGGACAAATCCTTTGTTTGCTCATTTGACAAAAGTAAATAAATTTATTTTCATAAACCTTTAGCTTCGTGTATTTTAGAATAATTATTATTTTTGTACTCACACCGATGTCGTATTTAAATATCACTACAATAATTCATTGTCAAACCATTTTTAGATTATATTAAATCTTTATGATAATATCGATGTTTTTGTCAAGTACTATTACGTTTTTCGGTGTGTAAACATAAATAATTTATATGGAAAATCCATTTTGGCACCTAAATAGAAACAATACTCTTGATGGTTTATTTTAATAGTATTAGAATTTACTTCTAACCAGATATTGATACAATTTCCTTATATAAATAAATAAAAAGAGGTTCAACCTGTGATTTTTCCATTAAATGCAAATTATTATTACTAATGTTATTACTGGCATCCCAATTGCTTTAACGAATTTTTTACTTAAATGGCGACACTCTTTTAAATACTTTGCAACTAAAATTAAGTTTCGAAATTCTCTTTGAAAAATGGAGGTGTTTTAAATTTACATGCAAACTTTTACTCTCATTAATCTAGTATACAACCAAGTAGTAAAACATCCTCTGTGATTTAATATATAAAATTAAGGCCTTTTAAAATTCACTTAGCAAATTTGATCCTTGAAACTTTATGAAGACAGATTTGAAAATACGAAGATTTACATGAAAATCTTGAAGTATTTGTTTAAGATTTAAGAAAATTTAAAAAATGTTATGCTTTCTCAAAGAAAGTTCAATTTGTTGCAATATAGACGTTTCTTTTCATATGAGTTTTTCAATTTATATGCATCTATATGTGTAATAAAGGGTATAAGTTAGTGGTACATTAGTTCCTTGTAGGGGGGAAATGGGAAATCATGGATAGCAAGTTGTATCAAATATTTCGATATAATAAGAGTAAAAGTTGAATGAGTTGCAAAGGTTATAATTTGTGTCGTCGTACATTATTTCTTTAACTGGTATTCCATTTTGAACAATTACGTTTTCTAAATATGCTCCTTCAGTAACATTTTGAACACGCAACAACAACTAAAATCAATTTCTATTTAGTACGATAGGATTTGTCTTAGAAATTGGTAACATGATGTATTTCTACTCAAAGGTTCAGATTCCAAGAGTCAAGAGAACCATTCAATTATGGTACTCGATTTGATCTAACATATAAAAGCAAGGTGTTTTTTTTTCCTAAAGTGCTTTGTCTAAACCGCCTTAAATTTCATAGTTTTTTTTTTTTTGAAAATTCCTTAAATTTCATAGTTGAAAATCAAACATTTACATGAACATGAAAAAATTGTATAAGCCAAACATCGATACGACGATACCTCATGGCTCAATCAAAATTTTCTCATAGATGGGATAATTTTTTATCACCTTAAGAGTTAAGATGAGTAATAATAACACGTGTTTGATATAAGTGCAGGTATTTCTTACGGTCTTGCTCTTAATTACGGTATTGTTTTGAAAAAGTCATCTACAAAAATTTATTATTTTTGACTTTAAATGAAAAATAGAAATGACAAAACTTCATCAAAAAATGTAGAAACCCACGTATGTGATGCTTTAAAATGGACAAATGTAGGATTAGAAGAGAAAACCAAAAGAAGAAAAGAGAACCGATTACCTCTTTTTTTTCGATGATCGTTTTAGTTTCTTGGATGATCAACTTCTGGAGAGTTGACAATAAGATCACTCGCACATCATCTTTAATTTTACACTGTGCCGCTACTTCTTTTTCACTGCCAATAAGCATATTTGTGAACAGATGCCAACCATGATTTTGACCTCACCAGCATTTGTTGAGTTAGCTTCTGAAACATTCTAAATACAACATTCAAGTCTCATTTCTAAAAAGACTTTGGGGTAAGCCAAATACATTTTTAAATTAACCATAAAAAATCTATAAACAAAATTACATACGAAGTACTATTCTACGTGTTGCGTGCATAAGATGAATAATACATTAGTCCATTCATTTTCTTGATCATCTCCATACACTTTGTTGGGTAGGTCGGTTGTGATTTCGTAGCTAGTGATAGTGATGTATATATAGTGCAGAAACACAGAGGCAGAATGATCACCCATCACACCTGATTCAATGTAGTGGACAAATGCAACTTGGACATTTCAAAGGGCACCTCGAACACTGCAAAGCTTTTAATTAATTGTTTTGCTTTGTTATTGTAAAAGATAAAAGACTATTAAAGTAGAATCGGGAAACTGTCTTCATTAATTGTACAACATTTTGGGAATATCAAAAGACGAAGAATGTTCTACCGAGTAGCATTTACCCATCGTTCTCCAAAAGGATTACGCCAAGCCTTTTCACCACTTTCCCGCTCAAATTCTTGTTCCACTTTTCCGTTTTAATATATAATATAGATTTAATATGACTCACTTTTCTTAATGAACGTATCAAGTTCTCATATTTTAATACTAGTGGAACGAAGATAGTACTCCGTATTATATATCCGTCCCCGGCCCATCTATTTATATTTTTC